TTTTTTTTTTAGCTTAAATGTAATTTTTTTTGACAGTTTCTTGACTAAAAATTACAGCTCTTGCTTCTTTGGTGTGCAAAACATCAGGAATCACATGTTATCTGTGTGCATGCTGTATCATTTTGGTGGGTTTTGTTTAGCTTGCAGTTGGCAGTAATGGTAAAAAGTCAAATAATGGTCCACATATTGATGATGCAAGTGGATTAAGTGGACATATCGTTGCTGCATCAAGGCCTTATCGAGCCCCAAAAATATCGACCTTTGTTTTAATCATTCCCTCTTCTGCACCTCTTCCTCATGACTGATTTTCAGCAAATGCTCTCTTTGATGTGTCAAATCTCTACTTTTAATAAGCAATCGTTTCCTCCGCTTATAGGCCGACTAGATTTTTACACTGAACCACCATTGTACGCAACCTCCACCCTCCATAAATAACCTGGTTCCTCCTCTCTTTTGCCACAGTTTCCCCTTTCAGTCACCATCTCTGTATGCTCTGCTTCACAAACTCTTCGTCACTCTGTGATAAGTATACACATGCTCTTTCTCCAGGTGTGAAATATGGAGGACCTGAGCTAAAGATGGGGTCGGTAGTGTCATTCTTTGGCGGGTTATGTGGCAAAGAGGAAAAGAAAGGTGAGATGTGACGCTTACGGAGTTTTTGTAGTTCTTACATCATGTTTGTAACATACAGTCAGTGGACTAATGGACGCTAACACTTCTCTCCCATTGCTCCTGCAACATCTTCACCCCTCTTGTTTTTAATCTTTTACTTTTTCACAGAGGAGCAGAGTCACTTCCGAGCTAATGACAGGCCTTTCAACCTCTCCTACCACTATGCTGTGAGTACAGAGACAAAGACTTTTTGTGTAATCAAAAGATAAGATCAGATGGGGAGGGACACCTTTTACAACTTTAGCCAGCCATGTGCTGTCCTTACAAATTGAGTTTTCTTAAAGGGTAACTTTGGTATTTTTCAGCCTGGACTCTATTTTCCCATGTTTTTGTGTCAAAGTGACGAATGGGAACAACATTTTTTGAACCTGATCTGGTACTGAGCAAGACCACTGCAGCTAACAGCTGTGAGACAGGTTCAGATGTAACCTATAGGGGCATTTGTGCTCTGTCATTTTACACCCACTAAGAGTGCTTGTTTTTGCCACTGACAGGCTCAGATTGTTATTGTAAGTGTCTGAAAACATTAAGGAAACAATTGTACGAGACAAAAACCTTTNTTTTGTTTAACGAGAAACAGACTTGAAATCGCTAAACTTACCAGACTTCATTTGAATAAACAGTAATTTTAGGCAGCATATTTTCACATCACACTGGAGGGAATTTAGAGCTTATTTAAAGTAAACCAGAGATGGTGATTGTTGGAAAAGTGGAAAGATGATCTAATATGGTTTTCTGGGTTTCATTTTGGTTCTGTGGACTTTGCATAAGGTGTGTTTTAAGATGATAAAATTACTGTTCATTTAAATGGGATCTGGTGGAGCTGCCTTTGGCAATTTCAGGGCTGGTCCTGGTTAAATCTTACTCAGGATGTTAGAATTTCAGCCCATCAAAGGCAAAAACAAGCACTTAACAAGAATGTAATCGACCTTTAGCTAAGCCCCGCCCCTTTGTGATGGTCCGACAAGCTGTCAGAGTAAGCATGGAGCCTACACTGTAGCTAACTGCACTCCCTGATGAAATATTAAAATATTGTTGGAGAAATGAAAGAGTGATTCCAGAGAGAAGCAGACAGAGGGGTCTACAGTCTGTGTTTGAAGGATATATCCAGGATGTCAAACTGACTCAGCAGCAACAACAGGTGAAAAAGACAAAGATAGTTAGAAGCTAAAGCCGAACTATAGGCTACAGATCACAGTGTAAAAGTGAACCACCACATCACTGCTGATCGCCACACAAGACAATGAATATAAAGGGAAACTTTGCTGATGTTGAACCAGCTGTGTGGCATCACAGTGTGTGCAGATGAACGGTGTTTGGCTACGTTATGATTGGCCAGTCTGCGTCTAGGGGGCGGGACTTGGTGAAGGGCTTATTGACTGACATTGATGTCACATTGCAGCCTGTTTCACCGCTTCTGATGTTTCAAAAATTGTTTCCATGAGTCATTTAGACACAAAAATATGGAAAAAATAGGGTCCCCATGGGAAAATACCAAACTCCTTTACGTAAAAGCCATTTCACATCATGTCTGAGTACACATCGCTGTAGCTGTCATCTGCTTTTGTCACATTCATGTCACTTTCCTCTACTTCAGGACAACGCCATCAAGACCTCCAAGTACAACCTTTTCACCTTCCTGCCACTTAATCTCTTCGAGCAGTTCCAGAGGCTCGCCAATGCCTACTTCCTCTTCCTCATGGTCCTTCAGGTAGACACTTCTCTTTGTTTACCTTCTCTACGACTGTTAGTGGGCTCTACACGTTTCAGTTTTTTAGGAATTCTCACAAATTTCTCAAGAGTATTTATGCTCACTGATCATAGAACAAATTTATTTCTTATCCACATAATAATTAGAGAAGAAATTTTACCTTTGAGAGTATTTAGCTTCCAGAATATTTGATTCCTGTGTCAATAGTGCATCATTTAATACAGATGCAAGGTATTAAGTGTGTATGTGTGTGTGTGTGTGTGTGTGTGTGTGTGTGTGT